AACCGTTACTGATAATGGGTCAAATTTCGTCAAAGCATTTAAGGAATTTGGTGTTAATACACCTTTAATGTTCCTCGACGCTAATGGCAATAACGACGTTGAAGATTTAGAAGAGATGCAATTGGAAGAGATGCAATGGAAATACATTGCCGCGACATATAAGATGTGCCACTCACACCCTAAATTTACTGGCTACTACTTATGTGTTGAGAATTTTGAAGACTGATACCTCATATGATAAACATAACAATGTAAGTTATTATAATTTGTTGTCTAGTTTATACGAACATAAAATCGAATTATGTAATTCAAAACGCATTTCTTACGACACATGAAGTAAAACGCAAAAAGTTTTCAAGTCGGTTTGAAAATTCGTTTATAAATGTGTTTCGAAATAAACCGAAATGAATTGAAGCGTTTTATGTATACGTATAAACTAGGTATGTATTGTTATTATGACAAATAATTTAACACTTTCCAAGAGAAATAGGATTATTAAAAGTAAATTAAAATGTTTTATAGGTAATGAAAAAATGCTCTGATATTTGGAACAAAATAAACAGGCCGAAGACTTCTCGAGATCATTGTTTCGGTGCTAGGCTCCCAATTGCAATATCCCGTCGTAACGAGATGGAATTCCTTATATGATTCCATTAAAGGTTTAATTTCTCACAAAGAAAAACTAAGCACTTTGTGTGAAAAGCTCGAATTGAAGTTTGACGAGAGCGATATAAGGTATTTAGAGGAGTATTTGCAATTGCTGCAACCAATCGCAGATGCTATCCAGTTTTTGCAAAAAGACAACGGGATGGTGTATGGCTTTCTGTTACCTACGCTGGCAACAATTAGAACAAAATATAGGAAAATACAACTAAGTCAGGCCATGCATTATCTTCAGCGAGTAGCGAATCTTTTGGAAGCAGACTTGGAAAAAAGGTTCCACAAATATTTTTGTTTGGAGGAGGTTAATGATGCCATTGTTGCCTCAGCGTTATGTCCTGAGGTAAAACTGAGATGGGTTCGATCCCTAAATCCAGAATTCACAAACGAAAAAGTTGCCGAGGTCAATGAGTTGGTGAAGAGCATTGTGGTGAGCGAATTCAATACAGATACGGAGCGAGTCGATAATAGTGAAGAAACAAATAGTCAATTTTTCGACTTTTCTTTTATAGGTAATGGCAATCTATTTTGTCATACATATGTAGTTATAATTAAAATAATTGATAAACATTTTTAACGTCTTTTTCAGATGAGTCTTCACAACAACTTGAACTATCGCAATCGTCTATTGAAGGCGAGTTTATAGCCTATATAGTTGATAAGTCTCCGAATATAACCATCTTACACCGCTATCCTACTATTAAAAGGGCGTACATTAAATACAACGCACCTCTGCCTACCTCAGCCCCCGTAGAGAGACTATTTTCGTTTGCCTCCTTACTTAATGCACCACGTCGAGGACGTCTATCAGATGACTCATTCGAAAAGCTGTTGCTTTTAAAAGTTAATAATTCACTATAAGTTCCCTTTGTTTATATTTTGTTAATAATGCATATTGTTTTATAATAAAGTTGTTATTATAGATCATTATAAGTAGTTTGTATAAATTTTGTTGCAAATAGTTAGTGACTTCACTCAAAAAATGAAGTCAGTAAGTCACTTCTCTAAATGACTTCAAAGTCGTGACTTCAAAAAGACTTCAGATTTCATTTTTTCATTCTTTAGTCAAAAAGCTAGTCAATGAGTGCATTCGATATTGGAGTCATTGAATTCGACTTCAACTGATTGCATTCGCATATGAATGCATTCTTTTACAACCCTGCCTTTGCCCTATGCGTGGGCGTCAGCAGGTCGCTCATTTTTTGCAACCAGTAGGTTATGGTTGTTGTTAGTCGTTTTTTGATCGCCAACTAGACCGCACGGGCTAATTCGAACCCGCCTGCAGTCTTCGCTATTATATTAATAAATTTATAATTTGTTAAAACGAATTCGGTCGATGTAATTTATTTGCAAGGAATTAGCCTCCGAAAAGGCTCTGTGGCTACACAGTATACAAAATACAAAATCGCATAATTTGTACCAATATTCTTTCATAATCTTTCCGCATACGATTGTCATTTGTTTATAAAGGAACTTTCATCTGTTGATGGTGATATAAATATCATTCCGCTAAATAAAGAGCTATATATTTCGATATCAAAGAAAATTTATATATTAATGATAAAGAGAATATTTAACTTCGTTTTTTTAGATTCGTTTAGGTTTATGCCATCGAGCTTACAACATCTAGCAGATAATTTATCTGAAACAAATTTGTTTACTATAAAATCTTTCTTTACCAATATTAATGAATTTAATTTGATGAGACGTAAAGCTGTATTTCTATATGATTATATTAGCTCAGTAGATCGATTAAAAGAAACACTACTACCAGATATTTCATTTTTCTATAACAAATGAAGCATGTAAACAGGTTGACTATGAACATGCCCAAAAAGTTTGGAAGGAATTTAACTGTAATAACTTATTAGATTCAACATCATCTAATTCTATCCGTTCTACAGAACACAAAGTTGACATGGCCAATCAATATCCCACCGACACCATAGTCTGCCTTTCCACAGGCAAATCAGCTGTGATCAAGAAAATAGCAGAAGTCAGGTCTTCAACCTTCCCTGAGCAATGGTTTTCAGCTAACAAAAGCAAACCAACGCTAAATATTCCTATAAATAATGCAAACCTCAGTCCTGTAGTTCTCAGAGAAACTGTATTCAATAAGTTAGGTGGACCAATTCAAGTTGAACTAGCTATCGAATTCCCTTGTTCCGTTTTGTTGACCGTTAAAAACAGTCCTTGGTTATCTTACAATGTACGAATATCTGAAGAAGGAGAGGTCACTCCTTTGGATTGGATCCACCAAGTGCAAGTAAAATATTCTGTGACAGATTCTATGACTGGTACCAACAGAACTTCAGAAAAAGACAATTTGTGGATTTCTCTTCTTCTTTTGAGTGTATATCGATTATCGAAGATCTCAGACGAAGTCTATAGACGAAAAGTAAGCTCTGTAATAGAGATTCAATTGACTGCCCACGGTTGTAGTGCCAGCTCACTATTGAATACAACATATTCTCACAACAAAGACTGGTTGAACAATGCGGAATATCGTAAAGTTAACGCTGCGGTAGACATGTACTTTTTTAAATTTGACAATAGTCAATGGTCGGTACTATGTCTTGGAACTACCGGATCAAGATACCGCGACTGTGCCGCCTTGTTAACGTATGGCCATGCTCTAAGAATGATCGGAGCCACCAGACCCGGTGAACGTTCGAGATGGATCTTCTGCGACACTTTGGCAGTAGAAGCTAGTAGAATCTTTCTCGAATCTCCGAACGAAGAGTATGCTTCACAACATTCATACTTTCCATACCAGATAGATTTTGGCATTTGTCAAAGAAGCGCATATTCTGCCAGGTTGAATCCGGCTGTTCACTTTTTTTGTAACATTATTGGGGTCATCTATTTTTCGGAGCGGAGTTTGAACGCGAGAATGATTCTGGACTAGAACATAACAGAGGTTTTGTTGATTTAGTCCAGTTGTAGATGCATATTCAAAGTTCCTCCACCACTGAAGCGGCTGAAGGCCATTGATGCTATTGCTGCTACATCTCTAATTAGTTATTAATTTATTTAATACACTAATTACACAAATAAATAAATATAAATAAACTAATTAGATTACCTAGATTATATTTAGAAGTAGATGTGTTATTACTTTGTGATGTATTTGAAAATTTTAGAAAAGTTTGTAAATCAATTCACAACTTAGATCCATGTCAGTATTATACTACTCCAGGTGTATCGCGGAATGCAATGTTGAAATTAACAAACATTCATTTAGAGTTGTTAACCGACCTTAATATGCACAATTTATAAAGAAGGGTATTAGAGGGGCTATTGTACAATGTATAAACGACATTCATGAATGTCACAATATTTACCTTATTCAAATTTTGAATGGGTTGAGGATATTGAAAACTTCCATTTAAATAATGTACAAGATGATTCACCAATTGGTTATATATTAGAAGTAGATTTAGAATATCCAACAAGCCTACACAGTTAAATAGTTGCGAAAAATTCATTTAATAAAAATATAAATCGCCCCTGGTAGAGAGGCTTCATTATAAATTTTGTCAAAATGTGGGCCTGCCGGGGGCCCAGAAGTCTGTCATTTAACTGTATCAGTCTTAATTAGGCAAAGATAGGCACTTTGTTCGTGCTTTTCACTTGAAGTCACTGACCCTTACAGTGCGGTTGGTATGGTAGAATGTAATTTAGAAAATGCAAAATGACAATTACGACGGCGCGCAGGGGCATTACAACGAAAATCTTAAGAACCGGCGAAATCAGCTGGCAATGACAAACCCAAAGGTACATAAACGTGCGGAGCTGCAAATGGGATGGCCGCCCATTTAATAAATGCCATCAATAAAATACAAAAGCATACAGCAACTTTAAATATGGAAGCGTTTGGAGAAAGCAACAAGCAACAGATTGCAGGGCCCCGGCAGGCTCACATTTTAGTAAAATATGGGACAAAGTGCTAGCCGGCAACAAACATGCGCTTCGAATACTGATTTTTAAAAACCTTCGAAAAGAAATAAAGAAGAAATCAAATGAAGCAACGAAGTTGTTATCCCCAAATTGGAAAGTTGGCGCAAGAGGAAGAAACCAATCAACACATTCACTGGTGGAGTAGAAATCTCAATTACATCTCATATAGAGTAAAGCGAAGGGCACACACAGGCACAAAAAACAAAGTGGTCAGAAAAATCGCTCAAGCAACAGTTTCATCGAAAAGGAAAATATAAGTTTGCATATACTTAATGCACATGTGGTATGCACATTGTGAATGCAAGTTAGCAAGTTTGATTTACTTGCACCTAAGTGCATATCGTTAAGAAAGGCAAAGGTCATAAAAAAAAGAAACAAAAACAAATTATAATTTTAAAAATTCCTCTAGCTAACAAAGTTACAACCAACAGATCTTACAACATAAGCTGCAATTTCTGCACAGCCGGTTCATATCAAGACCTGTTCACAATGCTCTCCTTTTGGAATGAATAGCAAGCAAAACAGCAATATCCGAACAATAATAGGACTTATTCCCCTTTATTGTTTAAAGTTAATGAGCCGTCGTCCAGAATCAGTGGCCAAATCAATTAATGAAAGAATGAACAAACACTTCATAGATCTGTACAAATTTGAAGATTGGTCTAAACCGCTTATTCCTCCAAACTTTGCTTCACTTATTGACTTGGACTAAGACTCGCTTCAGGAATGGAAATATTATCTAGTCTGATAGGGAAAATCATTATTGAAAACTCAAGACCAACTGCTAAACCTGCTGTTCGTGGAATCCCGTATGGGGCGTGTCTCACTCGTATAGGGATGCACGGTATCGCTCCAATCAAACATCTAGAACAAGCAGCAATGGTCTTGAATATAAGAACGGGAGATTTCTGTGCTTTAATTAATACAAAATTAGAATTTCAATCAATCATTATTTGCATTCAACTTCTCATAATCCCCGTCAAATCTTCGGGGAAATGAAACCATTTTGGGAAGGCAATATCATCTGGCCTGTCAAATATCATGGCGATTTTGTAGGATCTATAACCAACAACATTTTAATCGATTTAGAACAAATTTTAATGCACGTCTTATAATACAATGCGCAGTATATTTGGCTGAAACCGGTAGAAGCACCGAAATAGAAAGAATGCAACTATTGGACATACCCTCAAATGGTAGTATTTTTGTATCGGAATGTTCTTAAGCAGCAGCATACATCCAAACAATTATATTACAGCACCCCAGCTATAGCGTGACATCCGTTTAAAGAATAAAGACTGGAAAAACTTGATAGGATAAAACAGGGTTCAACACGAAACCAAGCGCCCCCCAGACGAACCACAGCTAATTCGAAGCCACGCGAGCGCCATTCGAAGCTACGCCGTGGCCACCAAAAACAAGTCTCGGATACAGCGAATCCAATTATTCCGCGGGCCACCGCTTATGTCGGTCACCGCAACTCCCAAACGACCCTCTGGTCGCCGTCAAGGAAGTCACCGTTGAAGCACAGTATTGCTGAATTCTTTTTATTAAATTTCTAATTTGTTTATGAATTTCATTCAGATCAAACATGAATTTTACTTGAATTGCATTCTTTGCAATCGAAGATCAAACCAAAAGACAGACCCCACAACACAGCGTCATAGTAGCCACTGTTAACATAACTGCATTCCAATAGCCCAGAAAGCATAAAGTGCAACGATGTCTTTACCGTTCCATCTGTAAATTTTTTAATTAATCAAAAATTAAGAAAACAATACTGCATGTTTCATGCGTTGTTATTTCAGCAATCCACCTGCTGATGCAACGCCAAAGCGTCGTTGTGAATTTAGTTCTTAAGAAAACAAATGTTAGCTTATAAATAAGAGACAATTGATATAGTCTTCACTTCTGATAATTGTCCGCGAGATGCGGGTTAAGTAGAGAGTCGTTTTATTTTTTAAAAACGCTTTTCTCGGAAAGGAAAGCTTAAATGGCGCCTAACAATGGGGCACATGCGAATTTAAAAAACCGCTAGTGAGTGGCAACTAATACCTTTGGGTATGAAAGGAGAAAACGCCAAGTATCCTTATTCAAAGAATATTAAAAGTGGTAAAAGTGCGTGTGTAGAAAAAAAGGTCTTTGGCTAAATAAGGGAAAAAAGTGTCCTCGCCAAAAAAAAAGACAAATAGTGCCGAAGTAAAAAAAAGTATCTCTAAAACAGAGAAAACAACTTTTACGGGCAAAACAACAAATAAGTATCCTCACGAAGGAGGAGAAAAATTTTAAATGGAATTTAACGGCCAAACCAAAAAGTGAATAATTGTAAACATTTAAATTGCTGTCGCTCTAACAATAGTAACATAAAACAATAATAGTAACATAAATAATGTTGTAACATAGACTCAGGGTTTTGTTTTAAACAGACACCGAATATACTGCTGTGTCATAAATTGTCATTTATCTTGTCTTATAAAAAATAAATCACTCAACAAGTTTTTGGCTCATCTGCATTGGTTACACTTCTATTTGATTTTTTAATTTTTTACGGTTCGAATTGGCCTTTTATTTTACTATTTTGTTTTACATAATGTGTGTAAGGTTTGTAAAGTTTGTAAAAGGATGAATAAAAATAAGTAGTTTTACTTGCTATTCTTTATAGTTTGTTTTACTTCGTTGCAGAAGTTCTAATCTGGGGTATAACAAAGTAAATAATCCGCCATCAGCCAGGGCAACAACAGCAACTTCACATGGAATAGTGTAAGTTATATTATTTACACTTAAGAAGCATTATTTATATAAGTTAATACCATACTTTGTTAAGGCCATTTCCACACAATCAGCAAATTATCATGCGATTCCGTTCCCACACAATTCCACCGGCAAAACGCTCGCATATTTTGGGATCATATTGCAACCGAAAATGCAATTGTGCTGCACGCGCATCCGCCGTCTTAGCTAAGGAAATTAAACACCTAGTTGAGCGAAACACTCGCAACTAACAAACCAAAGTTTAAAGATAAGTTAGTCTTGAACTCACTCGCGAGCTAAAGGCACATAGTGCCGCATAAAAAAGTTTGGAATAAATAAAGATTAAAACATAAACTTAAGTCTCGCGTTTTATTTTATATATATATATATATATATATATATATATATATTCCGATTTATAACATAAGCTTAATTCTGCGATTCTGAACTCCAGACCTTCCACAGTATAAAATCCTCCCTTTCTAGAAGGGATAAACAATGAAATAAAATATAAAATAAAATAAAATCATTCTAGGGGGCAATAGTCCCAGCAAACCAAAATACGAGCGTTTACATTATTGCGAAAATTGTGGCAATAAGCACAAGACGGCAGACCCCCCACCAGTGGTATACTACAAATTGTACATAAACACCACAAAACAGATTATGCATATATGTATACAAAAATGTATAGTTTTATATTCAAGATTATTTTAGTTACCTTTTCCCACACTATTCTAATCCTATGCGAATTAAACTGTGTGGAAAATTTTTCACAATATGTAATTTTGAATATGACCCAACCAGACCTATTGATGGGAGTCAACCAACATTCCTTTTGTTGCAACCCAGTACCTTTCTGAAAAAAGTAAACATATTGTCAAGAAAAAAATACATGCATAAGACTGCATTAAATGCATCAAATAGAATTTCTACAATAGATCTCTATGATGGATCATATCTCGCATCTTACACCGAATCGAACTATTAAATTTCATAATGTTTACGACAGTAGATGTTCAAGGCTTCAAAGCATACGATAATAGATTTATTGTAAAGGAAATAGCTGTGGTCTTTAATAATGAAGAATTTCATTGTTTCCACATCAAAGCTCCATTTGAATTTTCTGACCTGAGTAAGGATAATCCACGACCACCAAATTGGTTAATGTTACACCATCATAATTTATTATGGTCATATGGAAGTGATAGTTTTAAAGATGTAAGAAACTATTTAACATCAGCATTGGAAAACTTAAAAAAGTTTATGTAAAGGGAGAAGAAAAGAAAGTGTGGATAGCGGAGTTCCTCCAAAAGCCGGTGATGAACATTGAAGAGGAGAGTACAGAATGTATGAATCTCAATAGACTATACAGTTTACACCAAGATGCTGTGCGTTGTCAGTATCATTTTCATACTGAGTGTAATGTAAAAATCAACCGACTACAAATTCGTGGTGCTTTAAAAACAGCATGTATTTTGTTTAATTACATACTGGATAGTAATTTAAATTATAATGAATAAAAATAGAATTAGAAATTTTAAGTTTAGTGTTTATTTGTATTTTTATTTATTTTATTTTTTTTTTTTAACTATTTCTCAAATAAAAAAATTAAAATGTATCCGTGTAGTTTTTGGGAAAGGACATATACTCGGAAGAGGAGTTTAGACAGACATATTACAATGAAACATCAAGTTTAAAAAAAAAAATATTTTTGTGAGCAATGTAAAATTCAAGTGAAAGAAAATGTATGTACAACACACGTGAGAACAAACATGCATAAAAAAAATTGTATGTATAGTGTAA